CCCCCCCCCCCCCCCCCATACCGGTGTGGCTGTGTTCCCATCCCAAACACACCTCCAAGTCGAAAAGCTGCACGGCGCCTCCGCAAGTGGAAATCGTTTCTAGGACTTAGGACTTATGCGGCTTAGCATTTAGGGGCTTTGGGTTCCGGGGTTTAGGGTTTAGNNTTTAGGCTTTAGGGTTCAGGGTTCATAATTACTTTGGGTTGAGGGCTCCGGGTTTGGCATGTCTTAAGCCTCAAGACCAGCTTCTCGGATGTCCAAGGATGGGACGCCTGGTGCCTGTTATCCGGCACCAGCCACCATTGGAGTCCTGTCACTGTCACTACCTTGTTTTATTACCGACGAATCTAGCTGCTACCATTGCAACCACCACTATTACTACCACGCCGCCGCGGCCGCCAACACGATTGTTCTTCCCAGGGAAACTAAATGATCGCGATAATTACTTATGAATAACTCTACACATATTACTACGAATTCTTGAGGCTGAGATGCCATGGCACCAAGCGCCTGGCGTGCCAAATTGCCGGCGACAACAAAAAATCCTCCCAAAATTCCCAGTCCGGTACTTCTAAATGCTGATTTGGATTTGGCCCTAACCCCGAACCCACACTAAACCCAAAACGCCCAAGCAAAAACTGAAGCCTCAACCACGAAACCCTAGAAACCATTACTAAGGTAAGGCCGCAACCGAATAGTTAAGAACCATCAACATCCTCCCTAAACCCTAAACTACCCTAAACCCTAAACCCTAAACTCTTAAACCCTAAACCCTAAACCCTAAACTGGGATATGCCGCATAGCCCCAAACCTGAAAGCCGAGGGCCCACCTTTGGCATCGGGCTGCCGTTGCCGCAGTTGGTACGCAACCTGGGTGGCTGTTATGGAACTGACGTTAACTTACTCCAATAAGAGAAAACCCTATTGAAGCCTTATTGTTTACTATATTCATATGTGTATATATATATATAATAGCCAATACAAATATAAGTAAAGAAATAAATCTATATATGTTCTATACATATATATACGTATATATATATATATAGATATATATATATATATATTCCCAGTACGGTAACTGAAATCAAGTTCCTTAACAGCCACCCAGCAACAGTTCGAGCTCGCAGCTGCGCCTCCGAGGGCATAGGATGTAGGGCTGCTGTTTTTGCTTAGGGCTTGGGGCTTTGGGTGGGGGCTTTACAGGGGTTGAAGGTTTAGGGCTTGGGGCTGGGGGTGTAGGATTTACAGGGGTTTCGGGTTTAGGGTCTAGGATTTAGGGTGCTTTTTGTTGAGCCCTCTTTTCCCTCAGCTTTAGAGTTGACGGTTTAGGGTTTTGTACCCAGAGCCTCCAACTTCCCTTCCTTCGTTCCCTCTAGGGGGCAAAGGACTGAACGATCTTAGGGTTTAGGGTTTAGGGTAGTACTTGGATTGAAGATGGTGCTGCTGTAGGCTGGTATTTGGGCTGGTGACTGGGTGCCTGGACTTTTGGGGGCGGCGGGCAAGGGTCCGTTCTGAGGGCGATTGGGGAACTCTGCTCCAATTTGAAGCATCTGCTGCTAGTACTTAATACCCTACACCCTAAACCTTAAACCCTCAAGCCTAAGCTTACGAAGAAAACAGGTCCAGCAGCCCCTCATCATCGCAAGCAAACTTCAGAATTAAGCCAGTCCATTCATCTACCCCAAACCGACTAAGCCCTTAACCCTCGCGACCCTACACCCCTAACCCTTACACCCTATGCACCCAAAACCCTAGACTCTAACACCCTGAAACCCAAAAGCCCCAAGCCCTCAAAGCCACGTGAATCAGGAGCATACAAGTCGCGAAGATCGGAAGCTTTGGGCGCACGGGTAAGGTTTCAGAGTTTAGGGTTGAAGGGTTTAGGGTTTAGGGTTGACTAGGGTTGAGGGCTTGGGGATGCGGGGTTTACGGTTTAGCTTAGGATTTAAAAATAAGGGTGAAGGTTTTCGGTTTACCTCCAGAGCCACGCCCTCGTAGAGCAGGAGCCAGTCAGCGCGCGTCAGCTTAAGTGCAATCTGCTCACAGTTGTGCCTGCCGGGGGCTTAGGGCACCCTTTAAAGGGAGTTTAACCGTAAGCCCTAAACTCTAAACCCTAAACCCTAAACCCTAAAAAGGGCTACGATAAGGGCTGCCTGTATAAGGGGTAGTAAACACCGCCGCATGTACGCTGGAGGAGTGAGCTCAAGACTTCTAAGAGGGCTTCTAGAACTCGTAGAGTTGGCTTCAAGGGAGTGCGATAAGGGTTCAGGGTTTAGGGTTTAGGGTTTAGGGTTTAGGGTTTAGGGTTTAGGGTTTAGGGTTTAGGGTTTAGGGTTTAGGGTGGATCATCAAGCTAAATCCGAGAATATCGAAACCCTTCCAACCACGTCTAAATCAACTGCTCCAGATCTTGTCTCCGGCTTGACCCAAAACTGTACATCCAGCCCGAACATTTGAAAATACAGTCTACCACGATATACTTTATGGGTGGTTGTCAAAATTATGGTCCCTTTTTGGGTCCTTACTATAGAACGGCACCTATTATTTAGGGTACCCCAAAAGGGACCATAATTTCGACAACTACCCATAGAAGACAACAACTTGAAGTCTTCAAAGCCGAAAAACAACACAGCCGCCCACGAGGAACCTCAGCTGACCCTGAAGGCCAATCTCCTCGCCGGCGGAGCTTTCGCGCAGAACCACCTAAGCAGCGCAGTGACAAACGCTGGGAGATAGTGGTATGGGGGCAAGTCATCCAAGATGCATGATCAAATTTCGAGGTTCACTAAACCCCACACCCTAAACCCCTAATCCCTACACCTTAAGCCCAAAACCAACTGCATTGTTGATGTTAGAGTTCGGGGTGTTGAGGGTCTCGGGCTTTGGAACTCTTTCCTCAGACCTCTACAGAGGGTGGAAGCCCCATTCAGAGTGGTTCTTTGAGCCTAGGCTTCGGTCTTGCTTCCAAGAACCTGAAAGCTAAAACCCCAACCTGAACCTTAAATCCTAAACCCTAAACCCTAAATCCTAAACCCTATATATCCCTAAATCCTAAAACCCTATAACCCTAAACCCTAAATCCTAAACCCTAAAATCCTAAACCCTAAAACCCTAAACCCTAAATCCTAAACCCTATACATAACCCTAAATCCTAAAACCCTATAACCCTAAACCCTAAATCC